GCAACTATACACCAATAAAATGGACAACCTAGAAGAAATGAACAAATTCTTAGAAAGGTACAATCTCCCAAGACTGAACCAAAAAGAAATAGAAAATAGGAACAGACCAATTACCAGTACTGAAATTGAATCAGTAATTTAAAAACTCCCAACAAGCAAAAGTCTAGGACCAGATGGCTGCACAGGTGAATGCTACCAAACATCTGGAGAAGAGTTAACACCTACCTTTCTGAAACTATTCCAAAAAATTGCAGAGGAAGGAATACTTCCAAACTCATTTTATGAGGACACCATCACTCTGATACCAAAACTGGACAAAGATACCACAATAAAGGAAAATTACAGGCCAATATCACTGATGAACATAGATGCAAAAATCCTCAACAAAATACTAGCAAAGAGAATCCTACAATGCATTAAAAGGATCATACACCATGATCAAGTGGGATTTATCTCAGGGATGCAAGGATTTTTCAATATCCACAAATTAATATAATATACCACATTAACAAATTGAACAATAAAAACCATATGATCATCTTAATAGATGCAAAAAAGCTTTGGATAAAATTCAACAACCATTTATGATGGTTGCCTCTTAATAAAGTGGGCATAGAGGGAACATACCTCCATGTAATAAAGGCCATATATGATAAACCCACAGCTAACATCATACTCAATGGTAAAAAGCTAAAAGCTTTTAAGATCAGGAACAAGACAAGGATGCCCACTCTTACCACCTTTATTCAACATAGTTTTGGAAGTCCTGGCCACAGCAATCAGAGAAGAAAAAGAAATAAACGGAAAACAAATTGGAAAAGAAGTAAAATTGTCACTGTTTGCAGATGACATGATGCTATATATAGAAAATCCCAAAGACACTACCAGAAAACTACTAGGGCTAATCAATGAATTCAGTAAAGTTGCTGGATACCAAATTAATACACAGAAATCTCTTGCATTCCTATACACTAACAATGAAAGATCAGAAAGAGAAATTAAGGAAACAATTCCATTTACCATCGCATTAAAAAGAATAAAATACCTAGGAATAAACCTACCTAAGGAGGCAAAAAAACCTATACTCCAAAAACTATAAGATGCTAATGAAAGAAACTGAAGATAACACAAACAGATGGAAAGATATCTTGGATTATAAGAATCAATATTGTTAAAATTACCATACTACCCAAGGCAATTTACAGATTCACTGCAATCCCTATCAAATTACCAACGGCATTTTTTACAGAACTAGAACAAAAAATTTTAAAACTTGCATGGAAACACAAAAGACCCCGAATAGACAAAACAATCTTGAGAAAGAAGAATGGAGCTGGAGGAATCACACTCTCTGACTTCAGACTATACTACAAAGCTACAGTCATCAAAATAGTATGGTACTGGCACAAAAATAGACATATAGATCAATGGAACAGGATAGAAAGCCCAGAAATAAACCTATGCATTTATGGTCAATTAATCTGCAACAAAGGAGGCAAAAATATACAGTGGAGAAAAGATAAGTGGTGCTGGGAAAACTGGACAGTTACATGTAAAAGAATGAAACTAGACTATTCTCTAACAACATATACAAAAATAAACTCAAAATGGATTAAAGACTTAAATGTAAGACCAGATAATGTACAACTCCTAGAGGAAAACATAGGCAGAACACTCTTTGACATACATCGCAGCAAGATTATTTTGGATCCTCTCCTCAAGTAATGGAAATAAAAACAAAAATAAACAAAAGGGACCTAATTAAACTTAAAAGCTTTTGCACAGCAAAGGAAACCATGTACAAAATGAAAAGACAACCTACAGACTGGGAGAAAACATTTGCAAATGATGCTACCAACAAGGGATTAACTTCCAAAATACAAACAGTTCATATGGCTTAATAACAGAAAAACAACAACCCAACCAAAAAATGAGCATAAGACCTAAACAGATATTTCTCCAAAGAAGACACACAGATGCCCAACAGGCACATGAAAAGATCCTCAATATTGCTAATTATTAGAGAAACGCAAATCAAAACTACAATAAGGTATCACATTATACCAGTTGGAATGGCCATCATTAGAAAAATCTACAAATAATAAATGCTGGAGAGGGTGTGTAGAAAAAGGAACCCTCCTACATGGTTGGTGGGAATGTAAATTGGTGCTGCCACTATGGAGAACAGTACGGAGGTTCCTTAAAAAGCTAAAAATAGAGTTACCATAGGATCCAGCAATCCCACTTCTGGGCATATATCTGGAGAAAACTGTAATTCAAAAAGATACATTCATCCCAATGTTCACTACAGCACTATTTACAATAGCCAAGACATGGAAGCCACCTAAATATCTAAAGACAGATGAATGGATAAAGAAGATGTGGTATATATACACAATGGAAAATTAGTCAGCCATAAAGAAGAATGAAATAATGCCATTTGCAGCAACATGGATAGACCTAGAGATTATTATATTAAGGAAAGTAAGTCAGACAAAGATCATATGATATCACTTATATGTGGAATCTTAAAAATGATATAAATGAACTTATTTACAAAACAAATAGACTTACTGACATAGAAAACAAACATGGTTACCAGAGGGGATAGTGGGGTTGGGGGGGGAGGGGAGGGCAGATATATTAGGAGTTTGGGATTAACATATATACACTACTATGTATAAAATAGATAAACAAGGGCCTACAGTATAGCACAGAGTATACTCAATGTCTTGTAATAACCTATAATGGAAAAGAATCTGAAAAAGAATATATATATATATGTAAAACCGAATCACTTTGCTGTACACCTGAAGCTAACACAACATTGTAAATTAACTATACTTCAATTTTTAAAAAATGGTTAAAAAAAAAGAAAAATAGAGGCAGAAACACTTCCCAACTCATTTTATCAGGCCAATATTACCCAGTAATAAAATCAGACTCAGATACTACAATAAATGAAAATGATAAACTAATATCCCTCAAGAACATAAACATAAAATTTTTCAACAAAATATTAGTAACTCAAAACTAGTAACTTATAAAAAAGGATTTAAAAACTAAACAAGGATATATGACAACAAAGGCATAAAAAATAGACAAAATGAGTTCATCAAAATTAAGCACTTTTATAAAAAGGCAATCCACAGAATGGGAGAAAATATTTGGAAATCATATATCTGATAAGGGACTAATATCCAAAATACATATAGGACTCCTAAAAATCAACAAAAAACCAAAACACCCAATTCAAAAATGGGCAAAGGACTTAGACATTTCTCCAAAAAAGATATCAAATGGCCAATAAGCACATGAAAAGAGGCTCAACATCACTAATCATTAGAGAAATGCAAATCAAAACCATGAGATACCACTTCACACCCATTACAATGGCTATTATCAAAAAATAGAAAACAAGTGTTGGTATGGATGTGGAAAAATCAGAACTCTTGTATGTTGCTGTTCAGGATGTAAAATGCAGCTGCTGTGGAAAACAGTATGGTGGTATTTCGAAAAATTAAACATAGAATCACCATTTGATCCAGCAATTCTACTTCTGGGTATATGTGCAAAAGAATTGAAAGCCAGGACTCAAATAGGTATTTGTCCATCATATTCATAGCAGCATTAGTCACAATAGCCATAAGATGGAAACAATCCAAATGTCCACTGATAATAAACAAAATGTGCTATATACAAACAATGGAATATTATTCAGAAGGAATGAAATTCTGATATATGCTACAACAAGGCTGGACCATGAAGACATTATACTAAGTTAAGCTAGAGACAAAAGGAGAAATATTTTATGATTCAACTTATATGAGATACCTAGAGCAAGTTACAAGAGATTTATCTAAATCTCTGCTTCTAAGACTACAAAATAAAGATAAAAATAGCTGTAAAGGTTAAATGAAATAAATAGGGAAGGCATTTAGCAAAATATCTGGTATTTGAAGTCTTTAAAAAAATATTAGCTGATATCTTCATTTCTGGTGTATACATATTTAATACCCTAGGACAGGAATTGGCATACTACAGTGGACTGGCTGAAACCTGCCCAACACCTACATTTGTAAGATAAAGTTTAATTAGAACAGCTAAATTCAGTCATTATGCATTGCCTACAGCTGCTTTCATGCTATAATGACATTAATGAGTAGCTGCAACACAGACCAGCTAGCACACAAGGCCTAAAATATTTGCCATTGGGCTTTTTCATAAGAAATGTGCTGATCTGTATCCTAGGACAATAAAAACAAACTAGAAATACAATGCTACAGAATGTTAAAATAGATGGTGTAAATGGAGCAAGATAAGCAAGTTAACTGGTTTCCATCTGTCAATAAATTCAAAGCAAACGACAAACATATGGCAGTTTTCCATTTTCCCCCAAAAGTAAGCATTTCAAAACTGAAAGTGTCCTTAGAGGTAATAAGTTAGAATAAATTTTTTATCATCACTCCTGGTGTACTTAACGCGATGCATTAAGGCATTGCATTGGGTCATAAGCAAAGCATACTTTTCTGAAATAAATCATATTGAAAAGCATATATGAGAAATATCTACATAAAAGGAACTGTGTAAAGTACCACAAAGAATTCATAAAGGAAACAACAAGGTCCTACTGTATAGCACAGAGAACTATATTCAATATCCTATGATAAACCATAATGGAAGAGAATATTTTAAAAAAAGAATGCATGTATATGTATAACTGAATCACTTTGCTGTCCAACAGAAATTAACATAACATTGTAAATCAAGTACACTTCAATAAAAATATGTTGATTAAATAAAAAAAGAATTCATAAAGGATAAGACAATAAACTTAAAACATAATCTAGTTGAGTCAAAAAGTAATCTCTAAGGCTTATAAAAAGCAGTTAAGTGCATTTCAATATAATTTCTATATTTCTTTAAATTTTATGTAAATAAAATCAATTTCTTTGTCTACTTATAGCCTATACAAATTGAAAAATTCAAAAATGTATTACCTGAATTGGATGTTCACTAAATGAGGCTGGGAGCCATCTGACTGCCAATAAGTTTCTAGATTGTCATCTCGTAATTGATCCACTCCAAATCCTGAAAGCACCACGAGTGGCAATAAATTCTCATGATAAAGAGCCATATATTCAAAATACAAAATTACCACATATATTTGTCCAGAAAGTTTGATAAAGAGGATAGTGAGTAGTGTGAAATTTAAATTAACCAAAACTCTTCAATCCTCTTAACCAGACCTCACTTCTCAGAAGCATAAAAAATTAATAAACAGAAATCTCAATTAAACAGATTTGGGAGACCAGAAGGGGAAGTTCTCATACCCTGTGACCATAACAGAGCCCAAGAAGAAGAAGAAAGTCTCCTTTCTTGGCAAGGACTCAGCCAATGAAAAGCCACAGCCTCTCTGTTTACTATAGCCCTCCCAACTTCCCTTTATTAAGCCTTCTATGGATCCAGAGGTTAGACCCTTAATTTCATATTTCCCTGGACTAAAACTGAACTGCAAGCCATATTCAAAATTTCCCCAAAGTAACTGAAGATCCTCACATATTTGCTGAGGAATTTAATACAGTCATTAAAACTTATCAACCTGGTTTCTCTGACTCCTATCAACTAGTTCATAGCTTTTTGGTGACGGCCAGGCCCAGCAACTGAAAACTGCTAACTGGAAAAATCCTGAATGTTCTCTAGAATTACAACTGGGAGACCAGTCCACCAACTTATTATCATATGACCAGGCTTGAACAATCGCTAGGCAACTTCATCGAGCAATTCCTGAGGCTTTTCCAAAGTCTGTTGATTGGAACAAAATTCAGACTTGCAGACAAAAGTCTGATGAACCTGTTTATGATTATTACAATCAACTTCTAATTGTTTTTGAAGAAAATTCTGGTCTTCCTTCAGATATTGATTCCACCCTGGTCGTTTTTAACTATGTTTATTAATGGGCTGAACTGGGACCTTTCCCGTCTAATAAAAAGGACCAGGATGGAATGGGAAACTATGTTCACTCCAGATTTAGTTAATCTGGTAAACCAGTTCTCTTGCATTTTAGATGAGTCACCTCAAAGGAAGACCGCCTAAATTCTTAATTTTCAATTCCAGCAAATGAAGACTCCTAAACAGAACCAAAACCCTCCTAGTTTCTACTATTATTGCGAAAACTCAGGACATTGGAAAAAACACTGTTACAAATCTAAGCGTTTCAGGTGCCTTCAGCCCTCTAACCAGCCTCTCCAACATCCTCCCAGTTCTCAATGACAGGGCTTTGAGGAACTATAGGGCTCTTCCCAGTGCTCTCAATCAGTTTGGAGAAACATTTCTCTAGACTGGGAAGGAATCTCTTCCAGTCCTGACACTGGAGCCACACTCTAAACCCCACTACTATAAAACAGCCCCTGCCTCAGAGAACTAAAACAATTCAAATAGTGGGAATCTCTAATGATCCTCAAGAGGTTCCTGTCTCTGAACTCGTTCTCTTTTGTTTAGGCCCTTTGAGAGTTGGACACTTTTTTTTTTCCCTCAGTTCATCCACCCCTATTCATTTATTAGGTCGAAACTTAGAGAATTATCATGCCGGAATTTCTCCCAAAAGGGGAAAATAATTTTAGAAACTGACAGTAGTCATCAGAATAAACAACCAGGTGAACTAAATGACCCTCTGACATCTTTTATTTGTTCCATCTTTGATGGTAGTAGAGCAGATTCCAGAAACACTGATCATTTGTCCCTATTATCAGCTACCACCCTCCTTACGGGCAAAATCTCCAACTGACGTTAACAAAATTCACAGCACACCTCCCATCAAGATTCAAACAGACCCCTCAAAACCTCTTCCCGGAATTAATCGATACCTTATAAGTAAGAAAGTCTTTCAAGCCACAAAGCCCATAATATAAGATTACAAGGCTCAAGGCCTCATTATCCCTTTTACTAGTCCCTGTAACTCTCCTATTTTACTGGTGAGAAAACCTAAGGGTGGACCTACCAGCAATAAACAACATTGTTATTTATCCCTGGACACCCTGTTGTTCCTAACCTTCATACGTTACTAATGCCCATTGCTACCATGAGTCAATTCTTAACTGTAATTGATTTATGCAGTGCATTCTTTAGTATTCCAGTTGAAGCCCACACCTTTTTGCCTTCACTTGGAAAGAAATACAATTCACCTAGATAGTAATGCCTCAGGGTTTTACTGAGAGTCCTGTTTAAAAGCTGATCCAGATGATATAAAACTCCCTAGGGGTTCTACTTTGTGGCAATATGTGCATGATTTGCTTCTTGTTCTCCTTCTAGAACTTCCTCACAGGAAAACAGCATCCACCTGCTAAAGCTTTCAGCCTTAATGGGACATAAGATTGCCAAAGAAAAATTGCAGTTGGCCCAAATTTAGGTTTGATATTTAGGGCATCTGATATCAGAACAAGGGCTACACCTAGATCCCAATAGATTTCATGGTGTCCTAAGTTTCCCAAAACCCTTAAGTGCCAACTGCAAGGTTTTCTCGGGCTAGTTGCTTATTGCTGAAATTGGACTCCAAATTTCTCTTTTATGGCCAAAGCCTCTATATGTTTTACTTAATGATAACAGCCCTGACCCAATTTTATGAGAAGAACAGGAGGCGATAGCCATCAAGGCCTTAAAGGAGAGTTTGATAAACCCACCTGCCTTTGGGCATCCCAATTATCAGATTCCCTTTTCCCTTTTTGTATATGAAAAGGGGAAGAGAATGTCCTTGAGTTACTCACCCAAAAACATGGGGCCCACCATTGACCCATAGGGTATTATAGCCAGCAACTGGACCCTGTGACATAGGGATGCCCCCCTTGCCTTAGAACCAGTACAGCCACTGCCCTTTTAGTTAAGGTCACCAAGAAAATCACTGTGGAATCCCCTTTAACCACTTTTGTACCTCATGAAGTAGAAGCTCTCCTGAATTCTCAGTCAGCTGCCTTACCTCCTATGAAGGCCTTTGTTAAGTGTTCTTCACACAACTCTTTTACACTGTAAAAGCCTGAATCCACCTACTCTGTGCTCCTCAGCAAATTTACCTGGAATCCTATATCATCCGGCCATTCCAGATAACGGAAAACTATCCGGTATTGTTTTTCCTGATTAAAATCATAATGATTTATACTAATTAAAAAAAAAAGTGTGGATTTTTCAAAAAATTTAAGCAAAACAGATTTATGTTTTATTTTTGGACTAAGTAGTATATTCATTTTAGATCAAATTCACAAGGTACAAAAAAGAACATGGTGAAGTCTCTCTCCCCCCAGCATCTAGTTGCCTTCTCCAAATATAATCCAAGTTATCAGTATCTTACATACCCTTGCACAGATGTAAGCAAATATATATTCTTTTTTCCTCTCTACACAAATGATGGCATATTATACATACTTCTACACTTTGCATTTTTCTTTTCATTTAACATATCTGAAAGATTAACCCATATCAATAAATTAATAATAATAGCAAACACTGATATCACATTTAATATGTGCCATGCACATTTCTAAGCATTTTATATATATTAAATCATGAAATATTTATTAACTCATATAATAACTGTTAACCTAAACATCTTTTAAAAATTCTGTATCAGATCATCTCGCTCCCCTGCTTAATACCTCTAGTGATTTCTCTTTGTACTTAGAAGTCCAAATTCTTTTCCAAGGCCTACCAGAGTTCACATAATCTGACCCATGTCTAATTATATCTCCAATGTCATCTTCTACCACTTTACCTCCTTACAACTCTCCAGCCACACTAGCCTTCTTTCTGAACCTCAAACATGCCAAACCAGTTAGTTTAGAGCCTTTGAACTAGGTGTTCCCTGTGTCAGGAAGCTTCTTCTCTGAAATCTTTGCAGAGTGGATTCTTCTTAACATTTACGTGTCAGCGCAAATTTCACTTCCCACGAGAGGCCCTCCTTGATCTATTTATTATATTGCTGTTTTATTTTCTCCAAAGCACATATTGCTATTCAACTCAGAAATTCTTTAACTCAATGATCATAACTGTCAGTTACAGCATGAAAAGAAAATAAAAATTTAGTCAGGTTTTTTTTTTTTTTTAAGAAAAATAGAACTTACACCACACAATTATGCCTCTCAAAATTAACTCATAAAGGCAATGTCTTGGTAGAAGATACGGATCAAGTGGAAAGTATGTTCTAGGTATTCACAAAATACAGCCTCATCAAATCCCTGATTTTTGTTGGCTTATAAAATATCACATATAGAGTCAAACAAAGAAAATGTACCTATTTTTCCCCTAATCTTCTATCCCAACATGGTATGAATTTGATGCTTATGAAATTAAATGATTAAATTATTATAATAAGACTCTGTTATAACGCCAGCAACCACACAAATCTGACCTTTAGTTTTTCCAGTCTCTTGGGCAGAGACTGACAATTGTGCTGAACTGTGGGATTGTTTTCTGATGTGTATTCAATTAAGCTGAATCTACTAAATACATTCCAACTTTAATCTGAGTGAAATATTGAACAGTATTTCCAAAGATAAAATAATAATTTTGCAAAGCCATCTACCACCAACCATACTGTAGCAGTGAGGTACACCTGTATCTCCCAAAGACTGATACTAACATTTTGAAAGTTTATTAAAATTCTCCCTTATATCAGTGCTTACCTGAATTACTGCGTATCTCCTAACTCATTTCTTTACCTCCAATCTTGCCTCACTTCAGTCCATCCTTCACAGTTCTCAGATGTGAACAAACACTGTTTCATTCTGCTACTTTAAATTGCTCAATGGCTCATACTCTCTGTACAATAAAGTATGAACTTTTTTTTTTAATTTTATATTTTATATTTTTGGCCATGCTGCGCAGCTTGCGGGATCTCAGTTCCCTGACCAGGGATTGAACCCAGGCCACAGCAGTGAAAGCCCAGAATCCTAACCACTAGGCCACCAGGGAACCCCCAGGTATGAACTGTTTAACAAAGCCCCCTATGATCAGGCCTCTTCCTAACTAGCTAGTTTCACCTATGCCACTTCCCTCTGTTCTAGTCTTACTGACTACTCAAAATTCTTCGAAAGAACCATGCT